CTCTTTCATTTACTAATCCTAAGCGATGTATTTGAGAACAGTAGGAAAGAAGGAGACACAAGTGTGTGACTTTGAAGTCCAGCAAAGTTTTCTGTAGCTTCAAAGAGCCATTCTTCCCTGCGTTTTATCAGAGTGAATGCCTAGCTGGTATGCTGGGCAAAAGGGGGACGTTTTCTGATGATTAGCATAAAAGACAAGGCAGGAAGGCTCTTATTCATGGCTTTGACACTTATTGTGGAAGGGTCTTCAATACCATCCGTACCTTCATTCCCCACTATTTGCTGCGGGTGTAATAAGGTCTCCAGCACCTGGTGAGAAGGTGAAATCCTGATTTACTTGTGATCATTTCAGGTTTCACTGTCTGCTTCTCCAATCCTCTTTGATAGAAGAATAACAAAACATGGGAGCCAGTGGGGCATTTCCCTTTGCTCAGCCACCAAGAGCGATCCTGGGGACCCAGTGGGAGAGCGCCAGTGGCTCCTTTCCTCCCTGCCTGGGGTGGCTTTGCCTCTCCAGGAACCTCACAGACACTCCAAGTGCAACAGCTCCTGTCTGTTGCCTAGAAGTCAGTGAACGAATTGCAGCAGGATCCCAACCTAATTCTTCTCCAAGATGGAGCTGGGAAGTGGAAACCTGAGCCTATCGGACCTAATCCTAAAGGAGCTCTCCTTTTTTCTTGCCTTTTTTTTTTTTTTTTTTTTTAATTTGTAAGCCGTGTTTTTTTTGCTCAGCCACCAAGAGCGATCCTGGGGACCCAGTGGGAGAGCGCCAGTGGCTCCTTTCCTCCCTGCCTGGGGTGGCTTTGCCTCTCCAGGAACCTCACAGACACTCCAAGTGCAACAGCTCCTGTCTGTTGCCTAGAAGTCAGTGAACGAATTGCAGCAGGATCCCAACCTAATTCTTCTCCAAGATGGAGCTGGGAAGTGGAAACCTGAGCCTATCGGACCTAATCCTAAAGGAGCTCTCCTTTTTTCTTGCTTTTTTTTTTTTTTTTTTTTTTTAATTGGTCAGCACTGCTGTTGTCTCCTAACTGTCCTTTGAGACTTACAAAGCATTTCCTGCTCATGGTGACTTCTCTGTGCTGTATCTGTTTTGTATTGAGCTAATTAAAATGTTTCCTTCTGAAGAGAATAGTGAACTGACTTACCCCATATTCAGACACTGATCCTCAGGGCATGACTCTCTTTTTGTTTTCACTGAGAATGTCTCTCTCCATTTACATCACCCCTTTAACCCTTGATGTGCTTCGGCCTTCCCCATCCGCTACTGCCTTCAGAAGGTCAGGTCCACAGTCCAGAAATGATGGAATTCACCCCAAACTTCCCAGCAAAGCTTGCGTTATATTACTTTTGTAAGAGGGACACTTTGCTTGCAAAGGAACCTCAATCTGATGATGGAGGGCTGTAGGAATGCTGCTTTTTTGACCCTTGGGTCTCTCACTAAGAGGACATTGCTTCATAATAGCATTGCCAGATTCAGTAGAGATCATGATAAGAGATGATTTAGATGTGAAGAAAAAAAACGATGGACTGATGAAAAGCAGAGTTACACGGTTTGACCCAGTACTTGAAGATTTACAGGTTGTTTTCACTCAGGACTAGAAGTTGGTGGTGGAGGTAGCTGCGTCTTTGATGTAGCCCTGTTTATTTACCAAGCGCGGTTAAGAAAAAAAATAAAAAATAAGAGAGTCCTGTATCCCTGAACCACCGGGGAATCCAACAACAGGACTGGGTTTATTTGCTTACAGTTCCAAAACGCTTTCCAGTCAGCGTCCTGCCCAAAAAGCTTCCTTTCTTTGCTTTCCCTGACACAATTTCCAGTGGTTCATTGGTGATTGCTTTTTGGTTCCTTGTTGCCTTTACTCGGCTCCTCGCAAGGCGCCTGCAGCCGCATGAAGCCCTTCTTTCACCCCAGCTCCTTTGACTGCTCTCGCCCAGGGCCGTGGCTCCAGGCTCGTTCCTCGGCAGCCCCTTTGCTGAAGCCGGAGAGCTGAACTTTCACCTTTGTTTATCCAAAAATTATAGGCTTTTTTCCTTTTTTTTTTTTTTTTTTTTTTTTGCTTTGGAATAAAGTTTGCCTAGAAGTAGAAAAAATGTTATAACAAGGGGTGGTTTAGTGCACAGAGTGTGTGTTGACAGTTCCTTGTGATGCTGTGAGCGTAGATGTCATGCGATAAAGAGATTTCAGAGTGGGATCAGCACATTCCACTTAGGAAGGCTCTGAGAGTGGCAGCTAAACTGTGTCAAATCTACAATCCCCCTCACCTCGTCGCCTTCAGAAGGTCAGGTCCACAGTCCAGAAATGATGGAATTCACCCCAAACTTCCCAGCAAAGCTTGCGTTATATTACTTTTGTAAGAGGGACACTTTGCTTGCAAAGGAACCTCAATCTGATGATGGAGGGCTGTAGGAATGCTGCTTTTTTGACCCTTGGGTCTCTCACTAAGAGGACATTGCTTCATAATAGCATTGCCAGATTCAGTAGAGATCATGATAAGAGATGATTTAGATGTGAAGAAAAAAAACGATGGACTGATGAAAAGCAGAGTTACACGGTTTGACCCAGTACTTGAAGATTTACAGGTTGTTTTCACTCAGGACTAGAAGTTGGTGGTGGAGGTAGCTGCGTCTTTGATGTAGCCCTGTTTATTTACCAAGCGCGGTTAAGAAAAAAAATAAAAAATAAGAGAGTCCTGTATCCCTGAACCACCGGGGAATCCAACAACAGGACTGGGTTTATTTGCTTACAGTTCCAAAACGCTTTCCAGTCAGCGTCCTGCCCAAAAAGCTTCCTTTCTTTGCTTTCCCTGACACAATTTCCAGTGGTTCATTGGTGATTGCTTTTTGGTTCCTTGTTGCCTTTACTCGGCTCCTCGCAAGGCGCCTGCAGCCGCATGAAGCCCTTCTTTCACCCCAGCTCCTTTGACTGCTCTCGCCCAGGGCCGTGGCTCCAGGCTCGTTCCTCGGCAGCCCCTTTGCTGAAGCCGGAGAGCTGAACTTTCACCTTTGTTTATCCAAAAATTATAGGCTTTTTTCTTTTTTTTTTTTTTTTTTTCTTGCATGCGTTAGCACCAACAAGCTTCCATCCAGCTGCCAGCACCACAGCAAACACCTATTTCAGCTTTTGTGAGCTGAACCGGGTGCGAGGAGGTACGGGTGGTTTCCTTGTGGGTGCTGAGCACAGCCCTTCCGTGGGGCAGAAGGCAACCCACCCTCTGCTCCGGAGCTCAGCACCTTGAAGGAGGGAGTTGATAAACCAGGGCTTTGTTCTCTCAAATTGCTTTATTCTCAGGGCAGGGAGGGGGAGATGTTTCGGTAGTGAAGTTTCTTAGAAATCAGATTTCTGATAATGACATGAGAAAAGGGGAATGATATTTTGGCATTGTGTAAGGGATGCTGCTTTTACTGCTAAATATGGTCATTCACATTTACCACGTAAAAGCAAATGCCTGCTGGGGTGGAAGATAGTAGGTTATCTGGAGGTTCAAGAAATCAAAATGGGAATATTATTAGATGAAAATAAGAGCTTTTGGTGTGACTGTCTATGTGCAGGCATAAGAGGTACTCAAAATAGGAGATCATTTTATGTACAGAGAAAGCAATCTACTCTGTTGCTACTGTGCACCTTTGTCTGGGGGCTTAGGGGCTGATCAATGTCCCTCAATTTCACTTGCCAAGATCAAGAGACTGTCCTTTTTCTACAAAACAAAACCAAACCATTACAAATAATTCAGAAAACTTTCCTTTCAGCTGGGGGTCAGCTAAGGCTAGTTTGGCTCTGAAACGGTGTGGATCTTTCCCCCTCTTACGGGACTGAGCTGAGAAGATGGTACATTAGAGGAAGTCTCGCAGAGCCACTGTCTGTTCTCAGGAATAAAGAGCTCCTCTTTTCAAGGAGAGAATTTGCCTTTTGTGAAATGTGGTGGCTCCCCTTCCCTGAGACTAAATCGGATCCTTATTTATGGAGGAGGAGCAACGTGTGAAGGAGCAGAGTGAGTCTCTGCACGCACGCTTGACCTGGAAAGACCTATTGAGGCTGGATGTGTGCTCCAGGAGTCCTCCTCACCCAGCCCACGGACACCAGGATGGCTCACTGGTGTCTCGCTTGTGATCCTGGAGTACTGTGTGAGCCATCATGCTGGGACCACCATGTAATCCGTGTACACCTGGCTAGTGACACTCAGCCATCGGTACATAGAGCCCCGAAACTCAAATATGCTTTAGCCAGAGTTAGCTGCAGCCTGCACAGATGCATCCCAAATATTGGCATAAACACATATGGCTGCGAGCGGCCACGCTGTAAGTGCCAAGGCAGTACCATGGTAACTTGGTAACTGAGTCTTACACTGTTTTGCCATGTACTGGTCTCCCCAGGGAGCAATCTTCTCTTAACCTTGCTTCTAGAAGTAACACACTCTCCTACAGTGCACCCTTTCCCCAGGATCTGGCCCAAGGTTTAGGTAAAATTGCCTTAATCCCTGCTCTCGTGCTCCAGCCACAAGGTCACAGGCTGGAGGAGGGCAACCATCTTACAGCTGGGAGTGCGTCCTCTCTCCGGCACAAGCTGCAGCTCAGGCACAGTCACTGCTTCCATTGCTGTTTCTCAGAAAACTGGCAGGTTTACGCATATTTTTTTGTCTCCTTACAATACTCTGAATGAAAGTGAATAGCTAGTTGCATTCAGGCATTAGTTCTGAGTATGAGTTGAGCTCTCAACTCCAGAGTTTGAAAGTCACTGATTTTTATCCATTGACCTAACCCCAGTTAAGGAGGGGTCTCATTTTTAGTCTCAAAGGATTAAAGTGAAATGTACGCTCAGCCTCCCTCTCCCTTCCTCCCTCCCTCCCATGTTTTTCAGGACTTTCTTTTAAAATTCAGAGGCTTTGAACCCCCTAAAGTACCAAGGTTAGTTTCCTTCCTGTTTTATTTTAGCTTTCAGAATGCTAGTAAAGGAAAGAAGATGGAGAAGTGCTACGAGGGGGAAATATCCTTATCACTGACCTGTGAACTTTGCACTTCCCATCCTCTGGGTTTTACTGTTCTGTTCGTTTGGGGGAGCAATATAAAAACACACAATTGTCTTCTCTGAAACAAAGATTAAGGAGTGTCATTAAAAAAACCAAAACTTTTCTTGCAAATCCTTCTGCAGTGGGCTTATATTGTGTTAAATCCTATTTCTTCCAAACAGCTGCATCTTTAGACTAAGTGCGTTGTTCATCATTCATTTTACTTCTGACACCAGGTTTTCTATCTGCTTAAAGCTGTATTTGAATTTTTCTTGTGGAATTTTGACACCAAGCTTAAAAGGAGTAGATTTTAGCCGTAAATGAAAGGCAAAGTGGTAAATAAAATTTTTAGGTTTTGCAGTATAAGATATATAACTTATTTTCTAATTATTAATGTAGTTTGTAGGAGCCAGATCTCACATTACATGGAGCTGAAAGCATTTATCATTGTAAGCTGAAAGTCTAAGTTTATGCCACATTTATATACAACTCTTTCTTAAGCTTATATTAAAGTGTCTTTACGAAACTGACCTAAAGTAAAAAAAAGAAAAGCCCTAACCAAGGGCTATTTTTCACAAGTCTGAACCAAACAACAGGGATAGAAAAGTCCTTAACTTGTCATCTGCCGTGACACAATGAGAATTACGATGTGAGTTGTAATGATTTCCACTGTAGCAGTTTGGAGGAGTTGCTCATTTAGTAATTACTTTCCAAAAACTTGGAGATGATCTTTCTCACTTTAAACAGAACCATTTGCCTCTCCCATCCCCACCAAAGCACAGCTCAAGTCAGAGGAATGGGATCTGCCTGTATAGAAAAAACATTGCTAATCTCCATTCAAACGTACAACTCCAGCCCATCCCCGGCTAGTTTTATCCCACAGATTTATCTGACCCTTCAGATTTATCTGACCCTTCAGATTTATCTGACCCTTCAGATTTATCTGACCCTTCAGATTTATCTGACCCTTCAGATTTATCTGACCCTTCAGATTTATCTGACCCTTCAGATTTATCTGACCCTTCAGATTTATCTGACCCTTCAGATTTATCTGACCCTTCAGATTTATCTGACCCTTCAGATTTATCTGACCCTTCAGATTTATCTGACCCTTCAGATTTATCTGAGCCTTCAGATTTCAGAAAGCACTCCAATCCCTTTTTTACAGAGCTGACGTTAAATCTGGACGTTTTTGTGCTGAGTTAGAAAGCGAGGAAATAGAAACTTACCGTGGCAGAGCGGTTGGGGCTGAGATCATGCCCACGGCTCGGCAAGATTTCAGCCCGATTCCTCCCTGACAGCCCACATTTATCCTTTTTTGTGTGCGTGGAAACGCAAACCCGGTTACTCCCAGGCGGAAGATCTGCGTGCTCGACTTTCTCAAAGTTTTACCCATTCATCTTTAAAACCTAACGCCGGTGGCAGTTTGTCTGCTTTCCTTTGTTCGGAGAGGAAACAAAACTGCTGAACGCCGCGGCCATCGTGTCTTGGGAAACGGGGCCACAAGAATGGGCCCAATGTCTGGGCAGGGTCTGTGGGCAGGGGGAACTCTTGGGGGTCTCGATAGGAAACGCTTTCCATTGGGTAGGGATGTATTATTAGTGTCTGAGCCCGCCCAGCGCCCGGGTCTCTGCTGGGTCCCTCTCGCGGGGCTGTATTCCCTTCCAGAGCATCGCCCGGCCCACGGCAGCTCCCCAGTTCAGAATTAGCAGCTTACAATGGGTAACGAGGATTTCCTGAGCAATTAGCTGGCGGCCACAGCCTGCGAGAGAGAGGGCCAGCACCTCCTCGCCGGGGAGGGTAATGAGCAGGGGAAAAGCTGGTTAAATCTCGGATTTTGCTTTGCACGGCTGTAATTGTTTTTTTCCTTTCCAATTAAAAAAAAAGCGAGGAGGAGAGGGGGGCAGCTGGGAATCGGGAAAGCATTGGGTAAGACTGGGAAGCTGCAAAGCAAAGCTGGCTATAAAAATAAAATATCTTTCTAAACAGATTTAGACAGAGGTTGTTTTTTATGTTGGGGGTTGTTTGGGGTTTTGTTTTTTTTTAATCTTCTCGGAGGAGCTGACTAGAGCACTCTGGATTCTTGTCCCCCAGCAGTTTGCTCTGAAAACCTTGGGTTCCTGCTGGAAAACCTGTAGCCTTTAAACATTTAGGGACGTAATTAAAAATACTCCAGGGAAGTACGGCTGCTTTTGCCTGTGTAGCTCACCCTGAGAGCTGCTGCCGCCTTTCAGTGTATCTGCCTTCCAGCAGAGCCCCTAGCTAAACGCGTTTTATTTTTATCTCTTACCTTTTATATCAGCCCATCAGCTAGGGAAGAGGATCTTCTGGCAGCAGGAGTAATGCAGCAAACGGCTTATTAGCCTCAGCCTGTTTATGCCGTAGAGCAGCGGGTGCTCTTTTATTCCTTTTTCAGCCCTCTCCAGTTCCATAGGTTTGAAATCCTGGGTCTGCCTTTAAAGCCCAGCCTCCCAACTAACGCGTCTTGCTCGCATTGTGTTTGTCTCTCCTTTTCCTCCGCTCTTTTTGGCTGTTCCCACAGGCAGCCAAGGCCAGTAAACAACTCATTGTGAAGCTGGAACTAATGTTACTCCTTGGGCTGGTGGCTGATGCAGCGGTCTCTGACTCGCTCCTGCAGCACGCCCAGCTGCCACAGGCTTTTATCCAGTCGATGCAAATAACTTCCTGAATATCTCATATAACAGCCTAACTCCAGTCTGCAAAACCTCATCCTCCGAGGGCTCACGGTTTAATAAAACGTATCAAAACACAAGCGTAGGTTTGGATTGAAAACGGCGAGGGTGCAGATGTTTCCTGCTCCTAACGGTCAAAGGTCCATTTTCCCTTTTTCAGCTGGTAAAGAGGACAGACAGTCTGGGTAAATTGTGAAAGGGTGGCCAAAGAAATGTGGGAGTGAGTATGTGGGCTTGGCGGAAGGCTCGAGATGTACCAGTATCACCAGTAAACTTGCATACAGAAAGCAGCCTTGGCCCTTCATGGCTTGTGGGCATTTTCAGGCTGCCTGCTTGGAAATCCTGATTGCTGGGCTAGAATGCAATTGCTTTTCACACCCCGGGGGCCATTCTTATGCGAGTGTGAGTGCTCCCAGTGGGCACCGATTAAACAACGGTGTCTGCATTTGAAATCACCCTTTTTAGGGAAAAAAAGTGTGGTTTGGATGGCTTGAAGCTGGATGTGCTGATACAGATTAGAATGAGCATGCTGAAACCCTTTGCAGGTTTAACATCTTGTGTTGCTTGCAGCCTTCAAAACTATCAGTTGCTGGGCAAACCTGCTAGAGAGGAGACTGATTACTCCTTGAAAATTAAATACAGCATAAATCTTAAAACAACAAAACAAACCTTCTGTGCTTCTTACAGTATTTAGCCAGAATGTGGTAACTGTGCCAGCTTTGACGCTGTAGGAATGTAACCAGGCAGCTGTACCTATCTGGGATGTTTGCTTTCTCTCTAGAGTTACTGGTTTAATTAAACACTCCTAACAAAAGTCTTCAGCTGTTGTGAACTTCAAGGGCTGTCAGGAAATCTTCTTTATCTTTACCTCTAACCTAACAGGAGACTGGGGATGGTATTTTTGCCCTTTGTGGAGTCCGTCCTTCTAAACAATCGTAGTGGTTCCAACTTCATATCCATCCATGGCTGCCATTGAATTCAAAAGCATCTCTAGTGAGCAGGTTATTCAGCCACCTGTTACTTTGGGTTTTGTTTTGTTTTTAAAAAGGAGCATCTTTTTCTGCTAGTTATAGCCAAAACTAGAAGCTGGGCGTGTAGCATTGCTAGGTTGACCCATGATGCTACTCTCCAATCTCTAGGGATCATTAAAAAAAAAATCATCAACCTTTTCCCTTATGGGACGTGAATATGTTTTGGTATTAACGAGAAGAAAATGTCTCTGGAGCAATATATTCCTGCTCCCCTCCAAAGCATATTTCACAAAGCAATACACATAGGCCTTTACCCTTTTCCACACCAGTTTAAATAGGCCAAATGCTGTGCTATCAATGTACTCTCTATGTTTTTTTAAATAAATAAAGTACAAACATTTCCAACAAAGTACCCTTAACATAGGTTTATTTGCCAAACATGAAAAAAGGAGGTGGCTGCCTCTCTTCTTGGTTACAGTTACAGGCGAGTGTTTTCTTTAAAATGGAAAAACAATGAATAGACTCCTCGGCTCTTCATCTCTCCTCTCTGCACAACTCATTTGCTGTCCCCACCCTGATCCCATGGTGTTCATCTTAGACTTGGGACTGGGTGGGATTTAGTGAGCTCTCCTTGTTAAAACATTGGCAGTACATCAATAATCTCTAGTTATTTTGGAAAACAAGGGAAACTGGACTATTATCTTATTGGAAACCACGGCTGCTGAGAAGGCATAACATGTTTAAGCAAAAGTTTTACCCCCTGTTTACAGTACTCAGATTTTCTGCTTATGCATAGAAACCCTACTGATATGATACTTCTGTTGTGCTTTTGGTTGTCTATCGTGCCAGTGGTCTGGTGGGTTTTGGATTGACATCTGAAATTTCCATTGATTTCAGCCAGGCAGGAATATCTGAATTTTAGGGAAAAATTTGCCCAGAAGATTAATATATTGTACTTCTGGATGATTAATGCTTAATTCTTCTGCTGTCAAACATACTGACTATTTTCAGTCAATTGATGCTTTATTGTGCCAAGATTCCTACTTCAGGGCATTTACTAGCACTCAAGAGGAGCCAAAGAGCAGAACCCAAATCAAAATTGCATTTTAAAGGCCACTAGAATATATATGATAGAGACATTAGCTTTTCCCTTTCCTCTTCTATTCATTGGCAAGGCTTGTTTCCTTCCTTTGCTTTCCCACAAGAGCAGACTTAATTTGTCATTTGGTAGCTAAATATTGCATGGCTTCAGTTCATCCGGGTACAGAAGTGTGTATCTAATTTTCTGGGGAGCCCTCCCTCCACAGACAAGAGTCTGTGAGCAAGTGGAATAAGGGTGACCCCAAAGGAAACATTTGAATGATTAAACCAACAGGTTCAATTCCATTAGAACAGAATATTTCATTTAGACGTTCCCCAGGAAAGCTAAGGGGAAAAAATCAGTCATACTGATATTTTCCTGGGAAAAAAAAAAAAAAAAGAAGTCACTTTACAGAAACCACAGTCTCTGCTGGAAAAGACTTTGAAGGAAAATTCCTGAGCAGATGTAGCAGAACCCTTCAGGAGCTCGCTAATGCTGCAGTGTTTGCTAATGCTTAATGGTTTGTCAGTGTTTCGATTGGAAATCCTTTTTTGAAGAGTTTTCTAACAACAAAGCCATAAAAAATCATTTTGGAATCAAATGGAAATGCAAAGCCTCATCCTGTGTTTTTTGTTTAGTTTTTTTTTAAATACACATTTAGAAGGACCTTTTTTAATAATTTCAAATACTGTAGAGAGATGGTAAAAAAAAAAAAAAAAAAAAAAGAAAAAAGAGGAAAATAAAGATGAAAAGAAATACGCACGCGACAGACAAGGGGGACGTCTAAAAACAACCGTAGAATTTACAGATTATAGATTATACTCTAATTTGAATCAGAAAAGTGTGAATTTTAAGAAGGGTTCATTTGAAAACCCTGGTTTGTTAATTTACTAGCATTTAGAATTCCATTACTTTCCAATCCAACATGACAGGATATTTCTTCTCCGAATGTTTAGTCAAATTGAAGCTTTTTGGGGGCGGGGATGAAATGCTGCTGGTGCCAGTGGAGTGACTGAATGTCCAGAAAGTCCCCGCCACGGTCAGGGCTGGCAGTTTCTGAACACAGTCTGCTAAAACGCGACTGGGATCCATCCAGGTGAGGACGGGATTAACCAATTAACCTGTGATTTGTTTCTCCGATGTTTAAAACCACCCAATAGCAACTGTTTCCATTCTCACGAGTCCTCAGGGCCTGCCTTTATTAAGTGCACTTCACTCGATGATGAGCTGCTGAAATGTATTTCATTGTCTAAAAAGTAAAACAAAAGTTCAGGCTGTTTGCTAGGTCAGGCAAATAGAAACCTCCCGTGGCACCAAGTGCCTGAACCTGAATATTCCTCCAAACCGTGCATTTTTTTTTCATAAACCTTTGCTTTTCTTTGCTATGTAGCATCATCAATAACCTAGGAGAACGTCAGCCTTTTGGACAGTGTCCTCTCCGTGCCTCGAGGCACGCCTTTCCTTTTGCTTTCCATGTTTTGCAGTAATTTAATTGGGCTCTTACAAGTCGTTTCAGAGTCTTTTAGGTTTTTTTTTTGATGGAGAAGGGATTAATTTTGCAGACTCCCGATTCATTAGTCATTTTCCCCATAACATGGAGCAATTCCCAATTTTGCATGACCAAATCTAGCCCATCCAGGAATTACTTCAGGCAAGAAAGAAATACCTGATTATTCTCTCCTCCAGAGCGAGTTCAGAAACTCACCCTGTCCTAATTTGGCGTGGGATCTGGGTCCCTTGATTCTTTTCGCCCAGTTCAAAGGGACTGTTTTTCAGTTCCACAGGCTTCAGAGTCCCCGCTTTCATCAACAGGCGGTAACGTACACCGGTGTTTTGACAAGAAGCACCAGTTATGCCGAAATCTTACTCCTTGGAAAACAGAGCAGGTGT